ATTTTTCACCGTCCAAAAATCAGCGGACAATAACAGCACTACAAACAACAAAACTCGTGATGAGTGAATTGATGGATATACCGCAGAACATGTACATAACTGTTGTGTATTAGAAATACGTCTACTCGTTTGTACTGTGTGAACTAAACTAACTTTATTCAAATTAAATCGGTGACAATAAATGCAAGGGTATAACTATATTGATTTTATGAGGTTACTTCGATATGCAACACCTCCCCTTCTAAAATTTTAACTTCTAGTTAAAATTGTGGGTGATCGCAGACGTGGGTTCCAAATTGGTTGGTATCGGATGTCCATTCTTCCTTCCTTTCACAAGAGTTCGATGCAATCGAAGAAATTGCATTTTTCAATAGCCAAATGTGGTGATTGAAAATACGTCGATGTTCTTCAGGCCAAATTTTGTTGGTATCTCCTTCAAGCAGTATTTCTAGTTTGCGTTGAATGTAGTGAAGATTTTTGATGAACTTTCTGTAGAAATTTGCTGTAGCGATAAGTGATTGGAGTTCACTTAAGTTGGTTGGTGAATTCGCATGAATGGTACGAACATGAATGTTATTCGAAATCATTTCTGTTTTGTTGCTGCAGAATTCGTTGAAGGGTTTATCCCATAGATGGAATAAATCGAGAAGATCATTTCCAAAAATGTTTAGATCTTCGTGGGACGAAACGAAAATTTTTGTTTTCTTTTTTTCGTTTAAGAGTTCGATTGTGCAATCAATTTCTCCAATCAAGTCGATCAATTTACCTGATGCATTTTTCGGGGCCAAACTGGTCGAAAGCGGACGAATTCGCAGGTATAATTTTCGGCAATTTCGCTTCGAGATGATCGAAATGTCGCCAGCTGAATCGGCTTGAAGTTGAATGGGCTTGTTGTTGATTAGGACGTCAACGAACTTTTTTCTTGATTGGCAATCGATTTTGTGTAGTAACACAGAGGAAACCTTTGGTTTATGATTTGATGAATGACCCTTGGATTTGTTCGTGTTTTCTTGTGAAGGTTCACGACTTTTGGAGTTTTCATCGTGTTGTTTCGATTTGCAGAATTGGACCCAATGTCCGTTGAATCCACAGAAGTTGCATTTCGATTTTGCTGCTGGGCACTGGTTTGGTGGATGAGTTTTACCGCAATTGTTGCAATCGTCATCACTGTCGGGATTTTCCAGAATTGTATCTGGTTTTGGCTTGTTTTCTTTTGAGAAGTGATTTTTATTTTTCGACACATGGTTTACTAGGATTGAATGTTCAAATCCTAGTGGTTTTTGTATCATCGAAGCGTCCCGTTTGAGATTTATCAGTCGACCGTATTCGTCACTTAGCTTTTCGAGCGTGATTTTATCGTGTTCGACATCAAGTTTTGATAAAAGCTTTGTTCGGATGTCGAGATCTCTGGTCGATGATAGGCCGGCAACGAAGATGAGACATTTAAACTGGTCGATGGACATTTTCTTCAGTTCAAAAGCTTCACAAGCTTTGTTGACATTTCCCATGTAGTCGAGATAGTTCATTTCATCATTTTTGTTGATTTTGAAGCACTTGAAGCGAGTTTTGAGCAGGGACTCGTGTCTTCCAAATAGTTTCTTCAACTTTTCGATGGTTTCAGTGAAACTGAATTCTGATGAACGTTTTGGGAGTATGTAGTTCATGTACCTTTGGTGAGCAGACGTTTCCAATTTGCGAAGCAATAATCTCACTTTTGCAGGGTCGTCCAGGTTGGCTGCGTCTCTTTCGAAAAAATCTTGGAATCGACGATACCAGTTTTCGAAGATGCAATCATTTTCGGGGTCGTAGACGAATTCGGTGAGTGAGGTTGATAAAGCTTCGATCAAGAATTCTGGATCCGTGGTTTTTCGAGGGGCTCCAACGAGGTTTTCGGTTGAACCACGATTCGATAAATTGTTTAAAATGCCGAGGATTTCATTGATGGTGCTTTGAGTGTGGTTGTGTCGGATTTCTTGGTGTTGCATTTGTTGCTGTTGCAGAAGAATAGATTCTCTGGTTTGTTCCATGAAATCCTTGAAGTAATTTAAAAATTCTTCGTTGAAAGTGTTCATTTTGATGATTTGAGTTGCGCGGAGGAACTTTAAGGTAGCTTTGTCGCCAAATATGTTGTGTATTAGAAATACGTCTACTCGTTTGTACTGTGTGAACTAAACTAACTTTATTCAAATTAAATCGGTGACAATAAATGCAAGGGTATAACTATATTGATTTTATGAGGTTACTAATAAATGCAAGGGTAAAACTATATTGATTTTATGAGGTTACTGCGATATGCAACAATAACGATGGCCACGCCACGGAAAAACAAGTGGAAAAATGCGACATATGGATGCCTGTTGAGAAATAGAATACACGCTCATTTTCAAAATCAACATATAATAATAATCAATATAATTGTTCATATCAATCATTCCACACAAAATTGAAACTTACCTACAGGATAAACTGTACACACTACGTGTACAAAGGCACAAAATCAATGTTTCGAAAATAAAAAGTACTTGGTAAAGTTTGGTGTCAATTAGCTTTTTCTATTTAATACTTGACAGATTTAGTGGAGACGCCGCATACATTCCCATTGAAAATGATGAATTTAATAAGAATTATGTTGAATATGGCTTCTCCACATATCGTATTAAAACTAAAAGCTCAAAAGACACCAATATTGAGGCAAAATTTGCCAGATAATTTGTTACCATTTTTTTTTATTTATTTCTAATACGCTGGTCGATCATGGAGAATTTACATGTTCTGATTCGGTTCATCAAGAAGAAAATGACAAAAGAAAGAAGAAAGATACTATTGCTGTTTACATTGTTTTTTCTTGACGAATAATTCACTTAATATTGTAAATAGACATGAAGTTTGCCATAAACGAATGAAACTTGAAACAGTTGACATTTCGAACTGAAAATATTGTTATGAAACTTTATGTGAAAAATGAAAAAAAAAAATTATTGTATATTTTCAAGAAAAAAATGTCAATTTCATTCAATTTTATTGGAAATTTTTAATTTTTTCAACACTATTTTTTTACATGTAAAATTTTCTTGAATTTTGAATGAAAACTTTAACACTTTAAAATCACATCTGTTCACTCTAGTCGAATGTGACAGATGGTTATTGCAACAATATGGATTTTGAAATTATAAACAATATCTGTCAAGCTCACATTTTAGAGGAACACACGAATCGAATATATTGTGAAAATTTCTTCAAAAAAATATTTAAAAATGGCAAGTCGTGGCAGTATATCTGGTATGTTTGTCTTTTATTCATAAATTTATATGCTTGAGATGAAGAATGGAGATATTATATCGATTTTAATGTACAAGTTTATGTTCCACTTTAAGATAATTTCCAGAAATATCATCTCGACCTTTATTCTCAAGCACAATTTTGTGGCGTTTTGTGTTGTTTTGTGCTGTTCTGTTTCGTTTCTCCATGTAATTTTCTTATTTTTTGATAGACGAAATGGTTTCGGGTGGAGATAAACTACCTATAAAGACAGAACTAGATGAAATTGAGGAATTTCATATAAAATCCGAAGTGGGTAGATCGCATGTGGTCAAGGGAATTTGTATGTATTTAGTTTAACTATTTGTTTTGATTATTTCTAATGAGTCGATCGGAGTTGAAGGTAATAAATTTTGATTTCTCGATTTCAGCTTCTCTAACTGAGGTTAATAACTGGATAACTGCTCTTTACGAGCAAATTCTGACGAGACTAAGCGATATGAGAAGCAATCAACGTAATGTTCGACTGCTTGCTTGCAGCAGACAGTGTAACAATATTATAGACTCAATGTTGAAGAAGATTGACGACTACGAAGCCAATTTTGGGTACAGCCAAGATAACACTCGCCAACAACCAATGGCAATATAATGAACCAATTTATTAATAATAATTATAATTGAAACTGATTTTTTTATGATTGTTATAGGATCATTAGCATGGTACGAAATATTTGTGGGCTTACTGCTTGAGCACGGAAGAATTTTAATTGAAGAAACTAACGCAAATGTTCTCGACGGCAATGCAGTCTCACGCCAATTCATTCGGAACTTGAATTTATTGGATAAGTTCAGAGCAAAGGGCAGATCACGTTTTCCCAACGATGTATAGAATTTCGATTCGAATAAATGTGAAAAAGAATTTTCTTTAAAAATAGGTACACCACAGGCCATAAGTTTGGATACCTCTTTGAAACGTTTGTTTCTTCGTTTTTTGAACATTTCCACTTGAAATTTTGTATTGGATATGAAAATATATCGAAATTCTGACCGAATGGATGATTTGGAAGATAACATTTGGCCGGCCTATGGCCATCTTTTGGCCTTTGAGCTGTGGGAGCCAAAATCAAAGTCTTAAACGGGCCATCGGATTAAAAAGTTATATACGCCATTGGAAAGGTCTTGAAAAGTAGATGTGATTTTTGGTATTAAACATCAAAATCGGCCGGCGTTTGGCCAAGATATGGCCGTTTGTAATTTTTTGGCCGAAATCTTCAATCAGCCATATCTTGGCCAAAAGCTGGCCGATTTTGATGTTTAATACCAAAAATGATACGTACTCTCCGAGACCTTTCCAACGACGTATAGCATGTTGAAATTGGACAAGCGGTTTGAAATTTCAAAATTTTGGGCCAAATTCATCCATAGGGATATCCAAACTTATGGCCTGTGGTGTATATTTCATTATACGCTTTTGAAAAAAACGCACAAAATTCGATTTTTATCTATATCAGAAGTTTTATTTGATAGAAATTTTTATATTATTTAGTGCTTGAAAATAATTTCTGGCATATGACCTCCGCAGAGTGACGCAAGGGGTGCTTGCGTCGGCCTTGCGTTAACAGCATGGTTGACGCAAGGATTGCACTCGAATCCCCCCTTTCCTACTACTCAGTACAGATCAAGTATATAAAAGTATCACAAATGTGAGAAAAATGGTATTTGTTCAATACCGGTTTGTATTTTGAAACTGGTGTAAAGGTAA